GATGTTAAAACACCAAACTGAAACCTTTTACAAGGAATCATGTCTGCAATAAGCACAATGTTTGTGGTCAGAATGCAAACAAAAAACATTCTGATAATATATGCATTGTCTTTGAAACTGATTGGTCCACACCAGAGACGGCTTTCTTTAGAGCCTCGTCTCAAACGGTGTTAGACCAGAGGACGCCAAAAGGCGTACTTGTAAAAGGTTTCAGTTTGGTGTTTTAACATCTTAACACCTGTTTTGTTGCCAGAAAAAATGGTAAAAAACTATTATCATATTTTGGTACCGGCAAAGGAGGTCCCATGATGTAGCCTGATTCTTAATCGGAGTGAGTGTACTGGCAATCTCTAATGTGGACTGTAGCCTGGTTATTAAGTTTGGTGAGTGTTCTGGCAGTCTATAATGTAGACTATAGCAATGGTTATTAAGCTGGGCAAGTGTACTGGCAATCTATAATGTAGACTGTAGCCTGGTTCTTAACCTCGGTGAGCATACTGGCAGTCTCTAATGCAGACTGTAGCCTGGTTCTTAACCTTGGTGAGTGTACTGGCAGTCTATAATGTAGACTGTAGCCTGGTTTTAAGCTGGTGAGCGTATTGGCAATCTATAATGTAGACTGTAGCAATGGTTATTAAACTGAGTGAGCGTACTGACAGTCTATAATGCAGATTGTAGCCTGGTTCTTAACCTGAGTGAGCGCACTGGCAGTCTATAATGTAGACTTATTCTGGTTCTTTCAGTAATAATACAATAAAAAATAAGAATAAAAAACAAAAAAACACGACGTTTCGATCGCAACACAAGCGGTCGTCATCAGGAAAAGAAGGGTTAGCCTCTAAAGGCAAACTGTTTCTAAAGGTTTAGAGATGGGCGTAGCCCAAGTGTGTCAGCAGCATGGGCGGGGCAGCTAATGTTAATGTTGAAGAAAACCCCGACACCGGTAGGTCTACACCAATCAAAGGGCCACCAGTCAATCATTGCACCTCGCTCCACACACCCACACTGCAGAGGGTGAAGGTTGACAAGAAAACATAAATCAAGTTATGACCCAAAGTGGTTGATGACATCTTTCCAATGACTGCTGAGCTTATAACCATCCTCTCGGTTGAAATTGTGTCCGTGTCTGTATATATGGATGGCTTCATGAACGAATCTTTGTTGATAGCCAGTAGGCATGCAAAGTACCATCGTCTTAGAGAAATACATTTCGTGTGAGCCAGCCGCATTAAAATATTTTAAGCACTGTAAATTAGTGCTATATTAAAATGTGTGCTATATTAGTTGTTAAAATTTACAACGTGCACAAATCGCACTTAAAACTGATATTTTGGAAGCACTATAGCAAAACTAATAATTGTGTTCATACAATTACAATTTTGTTTTATTTTACACAAAGCAATGCAAAAGCAAATTAATGTTTATGATGGCCGGAATATTCCTACTAATAACATATCAATAGTGACAAGACAATTAATGATGCAGATGATATTATTTCAAATTGTGATGAGTATATAAAGCCAAGGACATGAACCAATCCATGGAGAAGAAGCATTGAAATCAGCTTGTGTGCAAGCACTAAGTGGATTACTGCTGCTCAGGATTGTCAAAGTGGTGGCAACAGCGTGGGGGGCCTTCATTCAGGAGTGGATTGATCAGGAACCATGGCTGATGTTGATAATGAGGCAGTAAAAGGGCGTATATGAAACAAAAAAAACAGGACCTGATGAGAGAAGAACATTTTAATGTGTAAGATGCAGTTGCATTCTGCTGATGTGAATAACAGGCAAATTAAAGTCATTACACTGAGCCAAACTTAAATTACTCCACCCTGCATAAGCACACACCACAGCTGCTACAGTGAGGGAAAAAAAAGTATTTGATCCCCTGCTGATTTTGTACGTTTGCCCACTGACAAAGAAATGATCAGTCTATAATTTTAATGGTAGGTTTGTTTTAACAGTGAGAGACAGAATAACAACAAAAAAATCCAGAAAAACACATGTCAAAAATGTTATAAATTGATTTGCATTTTAATGAGGGAAATAAGTATTTGACCCCCTCTAAATCAGAAAGATTTCTGGTTCCCAGGTGTCTTTTATACAGGTAACGAGCTGAGATTAGGAGCACACTCTTAAAGGGAGTGCTCCCAATCTCAGCTTGTTACCTGTATAAAAGGCACCTGTCCACAGAAGCAATCAATCAATCAGATTCCAAACTCTCCACCATGGCCAAGACCAAAGAGCACTCCAAGGATGTCAGGGACAAGAGTGTAGACCTACACAAGGCTGGAATGGGCTACAAGACCATTGCCAAGCAGCTTGATGAGAAGGTGACAACAGTTGGTGCGATTATTCGCAAATGGAAGAAACACAAAATAAATGTCAATCTCCCTCGGCCTGGGGCTCCATGCAAGATCTCACCTCGTGGAGTTGCAATGATCATGAGAACGGTGAGGAATCAGCCCAGAACTACACGGGAGGATCTTGTCAATGATCTCAAGGCAGCTGGGACCATAGTCACCAAGAAAACAATTGGTAACACACTACGCCGTGAAGGACTGAAATCCTGCAGTGCCCGCAAGGTCCCCCTGCTCAAGAAAGCACATATACATGCCCGTCTGAAGTTTGCCAATGAACATCTGAATGATTCAGCGGACAACTGGATGAAAGTGTTGTGGTCAGATGAGACCAAAATGGAGCTCTTTGGCATCAACTCAACTCGCTGTGTTTGGAGGAGGAGGAATGCTGCATATGACCCCAAGAACACCATCCCCACCGTCAAACATGGAGGTGGAAACATTATGCTTTGGGGGTGTTTTTCTGCTAAGGGGACAGGACAACTTCACCGCATCAAAGGGACGATGGACGGGGCCATGTACCGTTAAATCTTGGGTGAGAACCTCCTTCCCTCAGCCAGGGCATTGAAAATGGGTCGTGGATGGGTATTCCAGCATGGCAATGACCCAACACACACGGCCAAGGCAACAAAGGAGTGGCTCAAGAAGAAGCACATTAAGGTCCTTGAGTGGCGTAGCCAGTCTCCAGACCTTAATCCCATAGAAAATCTGTGGAGGGAGCTGAAGGTTCGAGTTGCCAAACGTCAGCCTCGAAACCATAATGACTTTGAGAAGATCTGCAAAGGGAAGTGGGACAAAATCCCTCCTGAGATGTGTGCAAACCTGGTGGTCAACTACAAGAAACGTCTGACCTCTGTGATTGCCAACAAGGGTTTTGCCACCAAGTACTAAGTCATGTTTTGCAGAGGGGTCAAATACTTATTTCCCTCATTAAAATGCAAATCAATTTATAACATTTTTGACATGCGTTTTTTCTGGATTTTGTTGTTGTTATTCTGTCTCTCACTGTTCAAATAAACCTACCATTAAAATTATAGACTGATCATTTCTTTGTCAGTGGGCAAACGTACAAAATCAGCAGGGGATAAAATACTTTATTCCCTCACTGTATGTATTTGGATCCTTTGCATGGCTCTGCAATAGACTATGGTCCATTTTTCCATTATGAGCAATACATTAAAATGTTACAAGCAACAAAATAACATCTGACTAACAAACATATCAAAGCTATCAGATGAAATGTCTCCATCAGTCATCAAGCAAATCAAAGAAATACAGTTTCTCAGTTGGGAAATTTACAGGGAAAAAAATGTATTCTATTTCAGAAACAACTAACACTTTGGTATCACGTCTTCAGATTCAATGCACTGTCTGATATGGGTTTAAAAGAACAAAGCTATGCAGTGGTTTGGATGTAGAGGTCATTCTTTGAATTAAAAAGGAGGCAACACAAAAGAGGAATTCTTGTAGAGAGATTACCTTGCTCCTTCCAACACACACGTGCCAAGTCCTGTCTGTGCTGATGGCCAACAGAAAGCTATTGATTTCTATACTGGATGCTGAATTCCAACTAACTCTCTTTTTTATAATTACGGCCGGCACTTATTTATTTATTTCATTCGCTTCGATCTTTTTTGACAGCGTTAACCCACTTTTTCAAACATCGATTATGTAATGCGTGCACACACACAATGCACACAGACCAAGAGCGGACACAGCTGCCACTTTGTTCGCATTATGCACTTAATGATGGTGCACAATCTCAACATATTTCCGCACCGCGCAGTTAAATTATCAACAGGGCTTAGTGCCGTGCATTATCATACGTTTCCGACATGATGCATCGAACACATCTACAGACTGAGCTACTTGATTAAATGGCGTGCGTCAATTTTTGACGAGGGTTTGTGATGGCAGGCATTTTTTATTGGGAATGTTTTATAGATCCATTCAACAGAAGAATGTTACATATTTCATTTACTTTGAAGTAATTCAAGTGGCTTAATATCTCGTGAGGCAGGTAAGGGGGAAATTTAGCTGCAGATTTGGATTCCACTCGGGGTAAAAGGGTTGCCTGACAATTAGCTTCTGTCCCAATTACATATAATCATTTTTGAAATGGATCACCGACACATTTTTTTTTAAGCCTGGATATACAAAGCTATATTTAGAATATTAGTCTCTCTGGATTCAGAAAATTATGCAAAATGACATTCTAAAAATAAAGAAGTCTATGTCCTCTATGGTGAGTGCATCACCTTTAGAAAATATTAATACAGTAATAAAAATAAATCAACATAACGTGTGTAAGTTTAGAGCCTTTGCAGAATTGGCAATGATGAGAATGTTAGGGTGCTGGTGACAAAAAGAACTAAAGATGGTTGTCCTCATTTTCATTTTAAATGTGTCCCACCTTTAAGTTAATATGAAACTAAACCACACAGCTCTTTGCAATATCAAAACCACTGTAAGAATCCTGCTCAAGTATAACAAGGTTGTGTAAGCGACTGAGAAATGAGCACACCTCATGAAATATTGAAGCAAACTTAGACTTGAGCTGCTGTTCCCCTAGGACCATGACGAAAGTCCCAAGGCACCCGCAGACTGCCGCGCTCATTGCCAAGTGCCGTGGGCCACGTACCCATCAAGTAGGTGTTATGGGACGAGTTGATGAAGTAGTGAGAGAGCGGCTGCATCATGTCGTCACTCAAGTCGATTTTCTCGGCTGGAATGGCAGAGTTCTCGTCCCCTTGTAGGAACTTGAGAAATCCTCCCACTGAGATGTGGCCTACCACACACAAACAGAGCAGGGCATGTAAACAAGCGAACACTGCTATTCGGGGGTGGAAACTCACGTCCCGGCTCTGTGCTGCCGATCCTGGAACGGCCCAGGGCTGGAAACGAGCCATTGAGCCTGCTTCCCAGTGGCCGTGGGAATTTGGCAAATGTGTAACTGCACACATGCGTACGTACCTCTCTGTCAGTGAAGGTCTAAACTAAAACAATTTGTATATTTTTTTTTTTAATCAGGTAAGGCCCATTTTAACGATCTTTTTTCATAAGCGACCTGGCCACAAAAAAATAGCTCAACGAAGTTGCTGATCATGTGGAAATTTATAGCAGCCAAATACTCGAAACTACGAGTTTATAAAGGTACAACCCTGCAGTTGTTTGCTCAAGCCATTGTTGGCAGAAGGGTGAGAGGGAGCCCTAGAGAGGACCTCTAAAGCCTAGAGGGCGTTTTGGTCCACTCTTCCGTACTGGTCATGAATCTTAGAAGAGGCGAGTGTACCCATACTCTACCCCAGTATATGCAACCTGCTGATTGGCTAACTGTAGTGCAACCCAACTGCGGTCTTCTGAATATCTGTGAAACTACTGGACGTTTGTGAGAGAGAAAAAAGCTTCATAGCTCATCGGATTTCTCAAGAATAATTAAATAGTCTGATTATGATTCTGAAAATATGTACACATGATGATTATGCACCCGTTTGTACTGCTGGGTGGATAGAGGGAGCGTGGTTTAATAAACCTGCCCATTGTTTCAACTGCCATGCCGGGAGGTTAAACTGGTGACCACTGGATCACAAGCCCAGTTTGCAAACCGTTACATCATGGCAGCGTCCCATAAAACAAAAGAAGACATTTGAAATTAGATGCAAGAATGTTAAAACACTCAGAGGATGGCAGATACATTAAAGTCATCATCTCATTCACTGCTCAATGCTGGCATGATCTGTGAACCAGCAAGTCTGAAATGGGCTTTGTAGAATAAACATGTTGGTGGTATCCCTTATAAATGTGTAAATATAATATTCCTCTTGTGAATTTACTCGCGGTTCACATTCGTGAACGTGAAGGAGTGAATGGAATGTTCAACCATAACAGCTTTGTTTTTCCTATATCTACAAAGATGACAGACAAAATGTCCACAATGTGTCTCACGTTAATAATAATCGACATGCAAAAGCTAAACATTGCGTGTCAAATGATCATATTATGCAATGAATTTAGCTACATATTTACTTTAAGAGTACTGTAATAGTCACTGTGTCATATATAGCATGCCATAGCTATAAAATTTAGTTTATTTAAAAATATATAATGTACAAAAACTAAATAATACAAATCTGACTTCAAGGTAAAAATGAGGCCAACATTTTTTCTAATAAATTTAACCTGGTTGCCATGCGTATTCATACTAGTTGACTCAATTTTGAGCATAAAGCAATCAAAATAATGATTACAAAATATTTTTGGAATGACTAGCCAACATAACATGGAATGCCTTAACGTAATTCGCAAATGGTGGTTTATCTGGTAGTGTCACCTGGATTTCATAGAACCCAATTATCCCAGATTACTTGAAAAACCCTGCAATTTCTCACCAATGCATAATTGTTTCAGCAATGTAAAGTAAAAAATAACCATGCAATATACCTATTTTTAAACCCATATAGGACATACTCTGTAATCCAGAAATGCCTCAGTAATAATAAGCGTGGTGTTTATTGAATTCTTCATTACTGTCTACCAGAAGGATTGTGCAAATGGAGTGCATGTATATTTCATTTGATTGCTGCTCCAATTCACTGCAAGAATAAACATTTGAGTTCTTTCTGCCTACAAGGACAAGGTTAACAGCTTTGTCAAGCTAATGGATAAATACCCCTCAGGCAATTGGTAAGCCTACTGCAGGGCCTTGGCAGGCTCCATTGATCAGGGAAAACAGAAACATTGTCAACGTAGATACAGTGAGGGAAAAAAGTATTTGATCCCCTGCTGATTTTGTACGTTTGCCCACTGACAAATAAATGATCAGTCTATAATTTTAATGGTAGGTTTATTTGAACAGTGAGAGACAGAATAACAACAAAAAATCCAGAAAAAACGCATGTCAAAAATGTTATAAATTGATTTGCATTTTAATGAGGTAAATAAGTATTTGACCCCCTCTCAATCAGAAAGATTTCTGGCTCCCAGGAGTCTTGTATACAGGTAGCGAGCTGAGATTAGGAGCACACTCTTAAAGGGAGTGCTCCTAATCTCAGCTTGTTACCTGTAAAAAAGACACATGTCCACAGAAGCAATCAATCAATCAGATTCCAAACTCTCCACCATGGCCAAGACCAAAGAGCTCTCCAAGGATGTCAGGGACAAGATTGTAGACCTACAAAAGGCTGGAATGGGCTACAAGATCATTGCCAAACAGATTGGTGAGAAGGTGACAACAGTTGGTGCGATTTTTCGCAAATGGAAGAAACACAAACGAACTGTCAATCTCCCTCGGCCTGGGGCTCCATGCAAGATCTCACCTCGTGGAGTTGCAATGATCATGAGAACGGTGAGGAATCAGCCCAGAACTACACGGGAGGATCTTGTCAATGATCTCAAGGCAGCTGGGACCATAGTCACCAAGAAAACAATTGGTAACACACTACGCCGTGAAGGACTGAAATTCTGCAGCGCCCGTAAGGTCTCCCTGCTCAAGAAAGCACATATACATGCCCGTCTGAAGTTTGCCAATGAACATCTGAATGATTCAGAGGACAACTGGGTGAAAGTGTTGTGGTCAGATGAGACCAAAATGGAGCTATTTGGCATCAACTCAACTCACCGTGTTTGGAGGAGGAGGAGGAATGCTGCCTATGACCCCAAGAACACCATCCCCACCGTCAAACATGGAGGTGGAAACATTATGTTTTGGGGGTGTTTTCCTGCTAAGGGGACAGGACAACTTCACCGCATAAAAGGGACGATGGACGGGGCCATGTACCGTCAAATCGTGGGTGAGAACCTCCTTCTCTCAGCCAGGGCATTGAAAATGGGTCGTGGATTGGTATTCCAGCATGACAATGACCCAAAACACACAGCCAAGGCAACAAAGGAGTGGCTCATGAAGAAGCGCATTAAGGTCCTGGAGTGGCCTAGCCAGTCTCCAGACCTTAAACCCATAGAAAATCTGTGGAGGGAGCTGAAGGTTCGAGTTGCCAAACGTCAGCCTCAAAACCATAATGACTTGGAGAATATCTGCAAAGAGAAGTGGTACAAAATCCCTCCTGAGATGTGTTCAAACCTGGTGGCAAGCTACAAGAAACGTCTGACCTCTGTGATTGCCAATAAGGGTTTTGCCACCAAGTACTAAGTCATGTTTTGCAGAGGGGTCAAATACTTATTTCCCTCATTAAAATGCAAATCAATTTATAACATTTTTGACATGCGTTTTTATGGATTTTTGTTGCTGTTATTCTGTCTCTCACTGTTCAAATAAAACTACCATTAAAATTATAGACTGATCATTTATTTGTCAGTGGGCAAACGTACAAAATCAGCAGGGGATCAAATACTTTTTCCCTCATTGTATTGCCAAGAGAGTGAGAAAATTTACGATTCAGCAGATGTTTGACTCATAACCAACGAACCAACAAAAAAACATATTGTAGTGCGAAAGGTTTGCAACACTCCTGTGAAATGTGGGACTGAAAATATCATGATGAGTTGGATGCTGTAGTCAACATGTTGCCATTTCAACAATGCACATTACAATGCGCGTTCTGTTGTGAACAGTTCTGAACAAAAGCCACAAACTGTGCAACATGCACAAGTATCGGCCAAATATATGAATGACATTAAATGTGACGTTTGCTCTTTCTTGCTAGATCTGTGCACTCTGCAGCATTGAGGGTGATCAACATATCTAGGGGATATGTTGAAAGAGGCGGTAATACTTGCACTTACTTCCACCACATGCAACTTGCCAATCGAATCTACTGCGGTGTATCTATAAATACTGCTGGGCGGACAGACGCGGGGATATTTAAGAAACATGCCCATTGTTCCAACTGCTGTGCCAGTAAATAGAAGCGGTGACCTCTGGACTGCAAGTCCAGTGTGCGCTAACCATTACACCATGGCAGCATTACATGAAACCTTCATTATACCCTTAATAAACGTGGCCATAAATTGTAGTGCAAATGGCCGAATTATAGCATGAAAGGACAGTCCTATTACAGAAAGAGAGTCATATTAGTTACAGGTAATGTATGTGTATCATATAAAATGCACACAGCTATATACATGGAATAACAATGAAAATAATGAAATACATCTGGACAGAAGATGGCTCTGCTCTGGGGGAATATTTATTTGTAGGAGAAGAAAGTGGAACAAATTTGTCCGAAGTCACGTAAACATCTTCTTTGGTTCTTTCGGTAAAGTCACGTAGAATGAGAATAAAATAATAAATTGATAAAATAAAATAACACAATAATATTCTCACGACGTTTCTTTTGATAATGGGAATCTGGACGAAGAGGTTAAAGACCCAAAATAGCGTGAACACGATCTTTGCTAATGGGAATTAATGCGAAGGGACAGAGTGGTGTTGGAGTGAATTAAAGCAAGGAGGTTACGGAGAAGGAGTTTGGCTCCCACCTTTTTTTGCCAGGCTGGCGTTGGGCTCGTACTTTTCTATCATGAGCTGAACCTGCGACGGCTTGAGCGGAGGGTAGAGGATCTCGTTGAGGCGGGGGTCGCGCTGACAGTTGTTGATGAATTCTGTGAACTGGTCCACTGTCAAGTACGGACGGCTGCGTGCCCCCCTGCCAACGGACGCAAGTGGAGGAGGTAAGTCATTTCAGAGGGAGGGAGGAGTATCTCAGGATTGGACAGGAGGTGAGGCATCTTGAGTAATGGACTGCAGTTTCGCAGTCATAGATATAACCTGTAGGGATTTGTGTGCAAATTGGTGGAATAAACTGACACAATCAATCACAGAAGAACCCCCCCCCCCGCCGGCCCACTTTGTTGCATATACAAACATGTGCATAGTGCATGCTGTGTGTCTACAATATTTATAGATGTGAAGCACATTAGGGCTAAACATGCACACTAATGAAAAAAATGAAAATGTCTCCTGGGCAAAATAAGAGCACTGTATTATATTTGTTAAACTCAGATAAAACCCTTGAGATTCATATTTCCAGTGAGGTCCTGGCAAGAACGCAGCAGTATTATATCAATTCCTCAGCAAACATAGCCAATCAATACTCCGTGTTGACGAGATGTTAATTACCTCGCCTGGTATAAAGGAGGCCTATATATTTGGAGTTTGCATGTGCTCCCTGTGGTCACGTGGATTTTTATCCGGGTCCTCCAGATTTTCCTCCACATTTATAAACATGCTTTTAGAGAATTTGGCTGCTAAACAATCCACGTGATAAGCCACTAAGTTCAGCAATTATATGTGGCCAAGTCACTTCTGAAAAACATCCATATAGCTAAGTGGGCCTTACCTAGTAAAATAAAAATAGTAGTAGTAATCCACAACACAGAATATCAAAATACCTGAACAAAAATGGTATAAAATGTACAGTATCAAATGTAATACAACTATTATAAATTACAATGCATGGATGAAAGTAACCAAATGGCGAAGCATTAATTACTTATCAGTTAAATTATTACATTTAAAAAAATCCATTACAATGGAACATCTCAATTTAGTGTCCAAAATGATGTAAGACTGCGCTAAAATATTTCACCATTGTTGAAAGTAAAACCTAATTCAATCAGTCTCATGCTAGGATCTGACCAATTCCAGTCGATCGTACTACTCAGGAGGGGAAATCCTTGCAGCCCCGAAACAAAGGGAACATCACGTGTGACAGATGTCGCTGACCCAATGGCATGCGGTGACGTTAGGCGAGCCAGATGACAACAGAAATATGTATAACATTTGCCGTGTATGCCTTTACGAATACAAACTGGCCAGCAGAATCTACGATGACATTTTTAATTCACCCAGGAGAGACTTGAATAGAAGTTGCAATTATGTTCTCGAAATGGGCAACCAGGCACAATTATTGTTTTGTTCAGCAAAAAAATATCAACCATAGCTGCCTTTAAAAGTGCCAAATGCAATAGAGAAAAGGTAACACTTTTCGATTTAAAGCTTTCGTGACTGCGAGGATTCATCTTCTTTGGTTCTTTCGGTAAAGTCACGTACAATGAGAATAAAATAATAAATTAATAAAGTAACACAATAAAATTCTCACGACGTTTCGGCCACAGCACAAGTGGCCTTCATCAGGTGAAGGGACGAGACTGTCTCGCTCCAGCGCTGTCCTCGAGACAGTCTCGTCCCTTCACCTGATGAAGGCCACTTGTGTTGTGGCCGAAACGTCGTGAGAATTTTATTGTGTTATTTTTTATTATTGATTTATTATTTTATTCTCATTCTACGTGACTTTACCGAAAGAACCAAAGAAGAAAAAGGTAACACTGTTTAAGGTAAACGTGCAGCCCTGCAATTTCCTGCTAATGCCACTGCTGGCAAAAGGGCCTCTACTTGTAGGAGCTGTACAGAGCACGTCTGGAACATAGTTTGGCCTACTCTTCCATGCTGGCCATACATTTTGGAAGAGTTTGGAGTACCCACACTTTACCTCACCATATGTGACTTGCTGATCGACTGTGGTGGACAGACAGGCGGAGAGGGGATTTGGGAAATTTGCCCAATGGTTTCAAGTGTCGCACCAGGAGGTCGAACCGGTGACCTCTGGATTGTAAGTGAAGTGTGCTGAGCAGTACATCACGGTAGCATCGACATCACAGAAAAAAGGTTTATGTATGTTCCTTACTGGGGTTAATAGAAGTGGAGCAAAGGTTAATTGGAGAGTGACTTTGATGGGAAACATTCATAGAATACACACAACCCTCCGGTCAAATTCCCATAGGACTCTGCTGTCATTGAAAGTAATTTTAATATTGTTCAAATGTCATTTCAGAATTAAATACATTTTTGAAAACGTACCTAACATAAAATTTAGATTGAAAGCTATCGTGACTGCAGGGATTTATATTCTTGGTTCTTTCGGTAAAGTCACGTAGAAGGGAAACAACGTTAGCACCATGGTGCTAACGTTAAAAAAACTGCCACTTTTTTCAAATTTTCTTGCTGTGGTTTTCACACCTGATGATGATTGCTTATGTTGCAGTCGAAACGTCGTGAGAATTTTATTATAAAACAATTTAATAATTTATTGTAGCTCATTTTCATTGCTGTATTGGGGAACACATTTTTTATAACGCAGATGCGAATTGGACATAATGTGATTGAGTGAACAGAATTACGTCGTGCGAGTAGGAATAAGCGGTTTAACGGCTGCCTCGGCGTAGCATCACACGAGGCATTGGGATGCTGCTGGATGCTTCTAGATGCTTCTAGATGCTACCCACGTGCCTCAGTATTTGTGCAGCCTGCACATGCATCTGACGTGTTATCGCGAACTGTCCTTTACCCTATATTCTTGGTTCTTTCGGTAAAGTCACGTAGAAGGGAAACAATAAAATAATAAAATATAAAACAATAACATTCTCACGACGTTTCGACTGCAACACAAGCAATCATCATCAGGTGTGAAAAACACAACAAGAAAATTTGAAAAAAGTGGCGGTTATTTTAACGTTAGCACCACGGAGAGCGATTTGACAGTTTGTTCAGATGGACGAGTTCATTTATGTTCGGAAAAGAGGAGGGGGAGACGAAAAATAATGGATGCGGTCTGAAAGCCACCTTAAGCGTGATCAATCAATTAAGACCCGAAATGGTTTATCAAATCCTTCCAATGATTGCTAAGCCAGAATCCATCTTCCCGGTTGAAATTGTCTCTGTGTTTGTATATGTGGACGGCCTCATGAACGAATCTCTCATGGTAGCCAGATGGCTTGCAAAGAACCTCTGTCTTGGAGAAGTCAATGTCACGTGAACCTACTGAATTATAACAGTGATCTGCCACGGCCGAGGTGTTATAACGCGAGTTTTCCATAACGCCGTGTTTTTTCAGGAAAGCAAATGCCATGCTATAGGAGAACAGGTTGCATCAATATTTATGCTTATGCCTTTATATTTCTACAGTCTAGTTTGTGAGAGATATCTTGCAATTTCACCTTGAATAGCCTTGATTAATAGCCTTGTCTAACTCTTGATGTATATTGTGTGGCATCATGTTGACTGTTACAGGGGGCGACAACATTGGAAAACCTTCACGAAGCAGTGGATAGATCATGGCTGATGAAAATGAATATATATTCATGTTAAAATAAAGTACATTTCAAAGGAAAAATATACATACATTGAAAAAAATTCCCAAGTAAAAACAAAGGTGTTTTGCATCTACAAACACCTGCTTTCAATAAATTGTATTTCCTATGAAGATGGACCCAATGGGTAAAGAAAATATGAAAATGTTAGGTTTACTACTTCAGAATTATCCTCAAATTAAAGATGAGCCATATTTCATGGTCAGTATGTGGAATTTAATCTAGTTTCAATATGTTAATTCCATGCAATATTATAGACTCCCAACAATCCATGGTACAACAATGTAATCTCCCACTGTGGATAATACAAGTCAGGGACTTAGGATGGCACAGATGTGGCAAATTTAATTTAGGATGTTCTAATTTCTAGGGATGGCCTCAGTCATTCTCTCTCTTCATCTGGAGCATCTAGCAGCTGTGTGATGCCGCATACATTCAGTGATCTTGTGCTCAGTCCTCGAATTGAGGCTTCCTTCTCAACCTGCGGGTTTGCAGGCTGTGGCTTGGATACCATGCAGGATAAATAAAAAAATGTGTGCGGAGAGCACAAACACACACTAATTTTGATTTAAAGCTTTCGTGACTGCAGTGATTCATATTCTTAGCTCTTTCGGTAAAGTCACGTTGAAGGGAAACAATAAAGTAATAAAATATATAAAACAATAAAAACAATATATTTTATTATTTTTCGTTTCCCTTCAACGTGACTTTACCGAAAGAGCTAAGAATACACACTAATTTCTCAACATGAAACAAGTGCCTAACTAACACCATGTTGACGACAGGCGTAGAGATGTAATCTTTCTTTGCATTGTGGCCTAAAGTCACCCCGGCGGGGTGCAAGGGGGTGGTGTGAAAGACCAATCAGTTTCAAAGACAATGCATACATTATCTGAGCATGTTTGTTTGCATGTTTTGCCACAAGTATGCGTGATTAATGCAGACTTGATGCCTTGCAAAATGTATCTATTTAGTGTTGGAATAGCTTAACACCTGTTTTATTGCCATAAAGGGCAAAACGTGTTATTATTTTTGATACTGGAAAAAACGTCCCATAGATAAAACAAGGAAAATGACGATTTTGCTTTCATATGGATAATCTGTTTGCAATTGGGTTGTTATCCATCGGCACCTGATGGGAGTATAATGCATCGTCTGAAAAATATTGCTTTGCTCTGATGGATTTGTCACGTGTGTGTGTGTGAAGAACCAAGCAAAACAATGGCAGTGATGGGCTATTGAGTGACAAACATTTAATGGACTGGTGTATAAGTCTTGTCTCGTATCAACGCAATCCAAAAGTCGATTCCAATCTACGCTACTGCTACTTTCATCAGCCTTTCCTTTGAGCGGTCTCTGAGAAGCACCTCATTATAGACACGCCAAGTATATATAAGCATATCAAATTCATTTAATAAGGTAAATGATCAGAGGTATTAATGAGAGACACCAAAACTGTAGTTACACAGGTAAACCCATTTCGTTGAACAAATGAAAACACTGACGGTGATGAACTTTACATCGAGTCTGCTGTAAAGTCGAGATCTGTAAAGCTATAGTTTCATGTTCTTTAGTTATTTTAGTTTGTATTGAGTGCCACTGTTCATCAGGCATGTAATGGTGCATTAATTCATCATTGTAATATAATCTTACACTCAAGACACAAACGAGCGTGGAATTTGTGTACGTTAGAATTGATGATTTATGTTTGCAATCACATCTAATGATATGCTCATGGCGAATTTAAGCTAATGAAAAGGAAAAAAAAATACAAAAAATCATTAATAACTGATTCAAATCATGACATTCATTTCTGAAAATTAGTCTTATCTTGGTGGAGGGGGGGGGGGGACAGCAACGGGGAGTGAGTAGCAATCATTATAAGTTTACCGATAACTTATAACGTCGGAACAGGGATGTCTAAACAAAATGAACCAATGAAGGAAATGCAAACGCAATGCATGGACATAACCACGCAGTGTTGATGACCGTGGAAATATGTACTTACACTTCAGCAAATATCCCATCAATCTCAGGCCTAGGGCAAATGCTTTTGATGAAAAGTCTGAACACATCGGGTCCAAACTCTGCCGGGTAGATGGCATCATTCTGCATGAACAAACGGCAAGCCATGCTGTTTTAAAATACAAACCTCATAATATAACCTCGCAGCTACGATTAATTAAACATAGTCAAGCATTAATTAATATGTAAGTGAATGTCATTCTTAACATTTTATACTGCTTGAAGGGATATCAGATGAATAATATATGTTCTTAATTTTCTAGGATCAACCAAATATGAAGGTCCCATGCTATACATAATTAAATTGTTTGAGATATTATTTATTTTTAAATCAATGAAATAGCAGTATATATTAAATTATATCTAAAGCCCAATTAGTGCTATTATTCAGGAAAAGGAAAAACCATTCACGATAAATATTTGATGACAGCCTCTCCAATAGACATGAAACATAATAACATACAGTGAGGGAAAAAAGTATTTGATCCCCTGCTGATTTTGTACGTTTTCCCACTGACAAAGAAATGATCAGTCTATAATTTTAATGGTAGGTTCATTTGAACAGTGAGAGACAGAATAACAACAACAGAATCCAGAAAAACGCATGTCAAAAATGTTATAAATTGATTTGCATTATAATGAGGGAAATAAGTATTTGACCCCTCTGCAAAACATGACTTAGTACTTGGTGGCAAAACCCTTGTTGGCAATCACAGAGGTCAGACTTTTCTTGTAGCTTGCCACCAGGTTTGCACACATCTCAGGAGGGATTTTGTCCCACTCCTCTTTGCAGATCTTCTCCAAGTCATTAAGGATTCGAGGCTGACGTTTGGCAACTCGAACCTTCAGCTCCCTCCACAGATATCCTATGGGATTAAGGTCTGGAGACTGGCTAGGCCACTCCAGGACCTTAATGTGCTTCTTCATGAGCCACTCCTTTGTTGCCTTGGCCGTGTGTTTTGGGTCATTGTCATGCTGGAATACCCATCCACGACCCATTTTCAATGCCCTGGCTGAGGGAAGGAGGTTCTCCCCCAAGATTTGACGGTACATGGCCCCGTCCATCGTCCCTTTGATGCGGTGAAGTTGTCCTGTCCCCTTAACAGAAAAACACCCCCAAAGCATAATGTTTCCACCTCCATGTTTGACGGTGGGGATGGTGTTCTTGGGGTCATAGGCAGCATTCCTCCTCCTCCTCCTCCAAACACAGTGAGTTGAGTTGATGCCAAAGAGCTCCATTTTGGTCTCATCTGACCACAACACTTTCATCCAGTTGTCCGCTGAATCATTCAGATGTTCATTGGCAAACTTCAGACGGGCATGTATATGTGCTTTCTTGAGCAGGTAGACCTTGCGGGCACTGCAGGATTTCAGTCCTTCACGGCGTAGTGTGTTACCAATTGTTTTCTTGGTGACTATGGTCCCAGCTGCCTTGAGATCATTGACAAGAGCCTCCCGTGTAGTTCTGGGCTGATTCCTCACCCTTCTCATGATCATTGCAACTCCACGAGGTGAGATCTTGCATGGAGCCCCAGGCCGAGGGAGATTGACAGTTATTTTGTGTTTTTTCAATTTGCGAATAATCGCACCAACTGTTGTCACCTTCTCACCAAGCTGCTTGGCAATGGTCTTGTAGCCCATTCCAGCCTTTTGTAGGTCTACAATCTTGTCCCTGACATCCTTGGAGAGCTCTTTGGTCTTGGCCATGGTAAAGAGTTTGAAATCTGATTGATTGATTGCTTCTGTGGACAAGTGCCTTTTATCCAGGTAACAAGCTGAGATTAGGAGCACTCCCTTTAAGAGTGTGGTCCTAATCTCAGCTCGTTACCCTATAAAAGGCACCTGGGAGCCAGAAATCTTTCTGAATGAGAAGGGTCAAATACTTATTTCCCCCATTCAAATGCAAATCAATTTATAACATTTTTGACATGCATTTTTCTGGATTTTGTTGTTGTTATTCTGTCTCTCACTGTTCAAATAAACCTACCATTAAAATTATAGACTGATCATTTCTTTGTCAGTGGGCAAACGTACAAAATCAGCAGGGATCAAATACTTTTTTCCCTCACTGTACACGTACATTTTCTGAGAATATAAATGTTTTAATCAATGGGATTGCTATAATTGAAAGCTAAGCAGCAAAAACATGTATACATTGTATTAATATTACAGTTTCACTCCAACATTGTTGACGTTTAACATCTTCCAAACTCGATGTCACTCGTGGGTACAGCGGGTGGCGCATCGGTCAACGCAGCGCACTCCGAGCCCAGCCGTGAATTTTTTGTAAGCGGCTGTAAATCAAGTTACCGCCACCTCCCCCCCCCCCCCCCCCCCCTCACGATAACCTTGCGCCGGTGTGCGACCCCACCATCTCCCGTACCCCTGCCGTTGGGCAGTCCGCAGCTCTCCAGCGCCGTTCCACCCGCCTGCGGTCCCTGCTGCGAATTAGCCGGCAAATGCCTGCACACAGTGGGTTGGGCGAGTTGGAGTGGGTTCGCAGCGAGGGCGGCAACGGTTTTATTAGAGATATGGGGGTGGGGGGGGGGGGAGATTCAAGCAATGCACAGGGTGGGTGTTTCAAGCATAATGAGGGCATGTTAAGTGTTACACGACGTGTCGGTGGGTTTTCGGTGTAGAGTGCAGCACAGAGTGGGAATGAATAAAATAGGTCAGGAGATAAGGGTTTGGGTGTATCTGAATTCGGGGGTAAGCAAGAGAGGTTAAGAGATGGGCAATAGAAGGCAGAGGCTGGCATGTATGGTGTGGACATTAGGGTGAAATAGTTAATGAGGGTGTAGGTGTTAGTAGGTAAAGAGCAGAAGGAATAAGTGATGGATAGAGAAAATAAAATAACTTTTAGGGAAGTGGGGTAGAGGAAAAGAGTTACAGAAGCAGGAAATGTGGGATGTGAGCATTTAACAAAGAGACAGTAAAAGCAGAGAATATATGTTTTCATGTTTAATAAAGAAACGAACAAAAATGTATGGAATGGGAGTTTAGCAGCACCGGTAAAGAAAGGATAACAATGATCAAATAAACATATTCACGTGACTATACCGACTCAAACACAGGTAAACACTGTTGCATTCCTGTACCGACATTTATCAACGTAGGCACTGACGGCCAGGCAGCCGTTGACGCTTGCCAATATTCCATCTGATGCTCCAATATCAGATGTGTAAATCGTGGTTTTTATTTGTACACAGCATGTCATAATCACGGCATAACTTGACTCCCAGTGTTTTTAAAACGCTGCATTTCTAACGTAACGCTAACTTGTTCTTCACGTTGCCATGTTGAGAGAGTATACTTTGGAAGTTGTGGAGAATGTTTAATGTTGAATGGAGCCCCATGTGAAACAAAAGTTGGGAAGATTGGGTCCCCAGACCACTTCAAAAGCTTTCAGTGACTGTGGAAGGGATTTAAAATCCGGAAGCGACATTTCTCTGCCAGCAAAGATCAAGGACAAACCCTGCTGATATCTTCTGTTGAGCAGGAAAACCTTTCACTGTAAACCCTGGCAAGTGTGGAACATTCGGATGCATCCATAAATTAATGAGGCAAATTTATGCAATTATTTTACACCAAACTAAACTTCAATAACAAAAACAAATTGGAGTCACACGGAGCGTAAATGCAGCCACATCCCAAGACGCTGCACAAAAACAGTGGCACATGGGCATCTTGGGAAAAAGGAAGCATATCTATTTATAGGAAAAAGATAGTCCACCATAACAGTATCGTAATAAGAATTCACGATATCTCAGCCGAGTTTCATTGTATGACGGCAGGAAGCAGCGCTTCTCTCATATCCTCGGAAGAAAAGGATTGGATCTCTCAGCCGGTCGGGCAGCAAACGTACATCCGTGACTTTGTGAGCTCACAGCCACCGCCAAAAGTCAGCTAAGGTCACCTCTCATCTGCGGCTGGTGAAAACGAACACCGCCTGCTGAGCAACCACCTGCACAAAGTCAGCGCCAGGTCACCCTCCGGGTATCCCGGTGGCCGCCACGGGCGTGTGGAATATTCAGGAACGACTCAAGAGGGCCAACGGACATGTGCACTGCCTTCTGCCTTGATTAGCTGTGTTAATAGCACACGCAGAGTGTCTCTGACCTATGACTGTCTGTCGATGAAGTGTCTTCCTTTGAACTTTCCACAATGTCATCTCAACTCGCTCTTCGGCCCAAAGTACCCAACTCTTACTCCTCCTCAAAACACACCTAGAAAGCCCACTTCTTCAATCAGTCAAGTTGCGTACGTTTTCCTCCTAAGTGTACAGCTCCTTGATATGTGTTCACATTTAGACGCGGTGCAAATCCATGTTTTTCTCATCATGTTGTAATCTATATTGTATGAATGTTGCAATTTTTTTTTACAGACTGAAGGCAAAGCTTAATTTTGCATGGTTACAATATAGCTATAGCAGGCATGAAACAGTCGCCGCACGACGATTGTGATTACTGTACAGGAAAATGCATGTGTTACATAAAGGTATGAAACTGAAAAGGGGCAAACAGAGCTCACTTCTTAACTGGAATCTTCGAATCTTGGTTCAGCTGTAGAGTCAGCTTTGTATACCTGGGGTGAAAAATAATGCACTGGATGAAACGTGTTAAATGTTTGACTTGAGTTAGCTCTCTATCCATCATAACATGCATTGCTAATTTACTTTTAGCTGGAACTATTCTTCATTGCTATGAGTTAATTACAGTCACTGAATAGCTGAAATATTACCATTAAAATGGTTGTCATGTTTGAAAAACCAAACATTCATTGTATATGCAAATATTCATTAAATAAAAAGACAAACATCACATTAGGGGTGTATGTCGGCCACCAAGGAAGCAATTGCGAATGAGTACAAAGGTAAATGCCCATCCCTGCACCACCTTGTTTCCCACCACTGCTGGTGGAAAAGACTTCACTAGAGAGTATTTGGCTTCCTCTTCCATGCTGACCAGGCATCAATGAATAAGTGGGAGTATCCACACTTTGCCCCACCGCATGCGACCTGCAGATCGACCAACTGTGCTGTGCCCATTCATTCTGCTGGACGGACACAAATGTGGGGGGAATTTGAGAAACTCGCAGCATTGCTTCAATGGGAGAAACGAAACGGCGACAACTGGATGGAGAATCTGGTGTGCGTGCAGCCGTTACGCAGTGGGCAGGATCGCCAATTGTGAATTATTTTGCCGTCATACATCAGCTCAAAAAGCCCAAGTGAAATTTAAGTTGTGCAAAACGGTCTCACAGTTTATCCAGAAAGATGTCCCGGGAGGAGTTGTGGTAGAGGAGATTTGAAGCGAGTTGAAAGATTCCTGTCGCCCACTCCTGGGAGATTCACAGCAGAGGGAGACGTGACATGGAAACTATCACTTGCAGCAAGCTTCCCCTGGCTCCCATCACACATGTGCGTGATCAACGCTAGTTCTTAAAAGTGTATGATTATGCACGCATGCCCGTAGATAAATAAGCATTTTTTGTGAATGTGGATTTAGTTTTTTTTTATCCCCCAGAATTTACTATCATGATGTTCCGTATGAACCGGCGATGTGCACCATTGATTTATGCGTTTGGCTGCACCATTGTGATGTTCCAGTGCAATGCTTATGGCCGTCATCTTCTCGTTTTTGACGCTATGTAAATGGATTTGACATATAAACGGGCACTGGGTAAGTTATAGATTTAAACAACTTTTTGTACATATCGTGACGTTTTTTCGACGTACATGTAACTTGACAAAAATGTGCAAATGAGATGTTACATCTCATCGCATTTTCCAGGTAAATTATTTTTCATACAATTACAATCATTAAACATGAGCAAATTTAAATGAGAAAGTTTGGATGCTTTGCACATGCAGTGTTTTGTTAGAAAATGGACAAACCAGATGGTGGTTAATCGAGTTGCGTAACAGAATTATGAGACTCGCACAAAAGTGCGGGCAGGAAAAATCTAAATCTTTTTCTAAGTTTCCTTGCTCTTTATCCTCACTCCATCCCCCACTGCCAATGTTGGGTTTGAAACAATGCCAATGTAAATCCCTTGAGCTGTGAAATGTTTTGTGTAGACACTTTTTTTTCTGGGTGTAACGTTCTTCCTGGTCCCGGGGTAAAGTTTACACAGCAAACCCTATTGAATGTCTGGTTTATATTTTAGAATAAAATAACACTGCTTCCTTCCTAACAGCTATTGTTATAATAGACACAGCCCTTAAAACAAACAGTGTGACTTCGGGTTGGACCAATGACTATTTTTTTTTAAAACACTCCATCAAATTCCGATTTGACATCAGACCAAGGAAGAGTACCTGTTTCAGTGTGTGTGAAAGCGAGATATGTCAAGATGCAAAGATTTGTGACATATTGTAACGTACAATGCTCCAAGGTGTTGATTTAGCATAATGTACGAATGTCAAAAATTGAAGAGATTGTGGTATTAACTGGAAATATATAAATAAATATCACAACTGTCAGTTCAATCCACTTATAACACTTCCATCTTACACTTCAATCAGCTTTTTTTTTTTAAAGCTTAAGGCATCATACACAACCTCCATATAATGTAGAGGCACAGCTGACAGGCAGAAAGCCTCGAAATCCTCACGACGAATATGGGAGAGAAAAACAATTCTTCCCAAAACCCGTTTTAAAACACAGCAAAGATAAGGGTGCAGCCTAACAATTGCTTGGTCATGCCACGACTGGCAAAAAAAGCCTCCACTAGATTGTGCTACAGTGAACCTCTTGAGGGGATATTTGGCGGTGGGAATACCGACACTTTACACCACAACACGTGATCTGCCTGATCGACTACTGTGGCAGACCCAGTTGTACTGCTGCTGGATCGACAGAGGTGGATGGGGGGTGGGGGTTTAAGAAACTTTCCCGATGTGTAAACAGAATTAGAATCTTTATTTATCCAGGAGAAATCTGATGAGCTATGAAGCTCTTTTTCACAGACGTCCAGTAGGGGTGGAAGATCAAATCAAGCCGGCAACCTTTGGATTGCAAGTCCAGTGCGCTGTGAACCATATTTCTGTGCACAGTACATTTGGAAGAAAAGAGACAAGTTTATGTGCAGTACACACGAACTTGACTAGTTGACAATGGAAGAGTCGATTCTCTTTGTTCCATTCTAAGTTTAGGTGCATCGACAGAGGCGGGATGTTATTATAGCTGAAAAATGTTCTTATGGCTGACAGTGGTGCTCATAGCTGGGGGTATGTGCTTTTAGCCACGGAGGTTTAAGTATAGTGCAGGGCAGTGTTGCTGCCCTCTTCTCTGATCTATATATATAATTGGTACGCTGTGAGCCATTCAAATTCTGCAGCTTAAAAAGCCTGAATGCTTTGGCTCAAGGAAATTAGTCGCTTTTATTAGGATTTACACAAACGTCGAAATATATATCTACGTGCAGACTTGTCGTTGCAAAATGTGACGAATATTCATTTAGGTTCATGTAGAATCGTCTTCATAGAGGTCACTGGCATGATGAAGCGTGTTTAATAAACAAAGAAAAAAAATATTTAATGCTGTTCTTGGAATGTGATTTGAACCATCATTTGCAGTCAATAAATCCAATTTTGAATCAGCAGCCATATACATCCATCAGGTATTTGCACAGTGCATTCTATGAATATGCAAGCGTGCATATACATAAAATACATTTCTAGTCTCTGGCATTTAGCTTGTCTGCTGTAATCACTCACCCCCTCCATTTATTATTTATATCCATTATCCTAAGTTGTCCGTTATGTCAGATTATACCAGTGTTTAACCCATGGAGCCAACTGAACACAGTAGCTGAGGCCTATTCGTCTGTCGTTCCATATCTTACCTTGGCAATCTCTTCAGAGAAGGCCACAAAGTTCAAGAAAGTGAGGTTGACGAAGTCTGATCCAAACACCACGGTCACCGTCTTTTGCTCCAGCCGGCCCTCTCCATTCCCGCTCTCGAAGACGTCGCGCAGCTTTCCGTCCTGCACACAGAAGAGGAACGTTGGCACGTCTGTCTCGGTGTTCCTCACGGTACATCACAACGGTGGCATTCCATCGTGGGCAGTCTGTGTCAACACAACCTGGGTGGTAAGATGCCTCCTCCTCACACCGTAAGCACCTTTCCCCAAAAGCTGTACCCTGAGGTCTCAAGAGAAATTGGAAACTACGTCGCCACCAACACCGGCTATCAAATCGGTATACAAATAAAAACTTTCAACTTGAACTTTTAGGCAGACACGATAAATCATTAATTCAAGGGACGCATCATGCTGATTTAACAACAGCCTGTCAAGACCGCATTCGGCACTGTCAAAGAGTAAAGGCCATTGCGAAATGTTTCACTATATTTATCAAAAGTCTTCGGAAGTCCAACTGATATTGGAGATCGCTGACCTGTAAATAGCACATTACTTTCACAGCGAATTCCTACTTCAACAATGCTTCAGTGAACTACTCTTTGGATAAATACACAGGGCATATAAATCAGAAAGGCAATGCTTTGCAGATTTATAGCCACGGTCTATTAGTTGTCTTTGTGAGGCTTGAGTTGTGTAATGGTTGGCAAGGGGGTATCTTCCCTTATTGTATTACTCGTGTCAGCTCTGCGCACAGGGACAAACCCGCAAACGGCCTTCGAGATGTGGCACAAAAGCATTGCACAAGTGAGCACAGAGCCTCCCAGCGCAGGGCACGTTCGTCAATGCCAAAACAACAATAACACAGAGGCAGTGACAGGCATTCACAGACAAAAGCTCGTAGCACGTCAATAACCCTTTCGGTACAAATTAGACCAAAAAAAAGACACAAAGGGGTTTGTTTACATTTTGTTAATTTAATTACAACACCTCCTCCTCTCTCGGTCATAATATTACGGAAACTGGTATTGTGGCCTCAGGTCAGCTGCCTTACGAATTGAAAGTGACGTCTTTTTTGGTCACGTTCTAGTCTAATTAGACTTGTCGTGGGACACTGAACTCACATTAAACACTGGGCTCTTTCTCTAAGTGACTATTCAGAAGGAAGATGATAAGTACTCTTGAATTGTTGAAAATGACATTCCCTGCAAGCCGCACAAAGGACTGTGGTAATTCAAATGTGCGTCCTTTATTCCCTTCCGTATTGAAAAAAACAAACACAAAGACTAAAAATCTATTCCTTTGAAAAAGCACACAATTCAGGAGTGAAAAAGAGTAAAATTACGATCCATAATACATGCAGAGTTATTACGCTTTGTGCCAGAACTATTTTTGGAACTATTAACGCTGGTGAACATTTTGAAAACTGCATTTATATATATAAAAAAATCACGTGCACACTCAGCAAGTGCAGTGACAAGTAATGCGTCGTGTGTATTTCGTCCTAACTGCAGTTGGCCTGGACGAAAACTGAAAGTCACAGAAGTGAAAGTAATGCAGGTATTTGCATATGTGATCGATCATCATTCCAAACGCTGACATAACAGCTTTATAAATGGAGAACCTCATGCAACATTGCTGTGATTGTGAGGTCACAATTGTGAGGTCACAATCACAGGAAATTAGTCACATAACCCGTTTTCCACAATGACTTGCATCGCACATACTCGAGAAGAACAGATTACAGGGTTGGATATTGCTGTTATATGCGTGGTGAAAATAGTGTAATAATAAACAATACACGTTTAGATCTTTGTAAAAGCACTGCATGATGAAGGCCTCCCCCACAGAATGTGGCGTTCATGGCGGCTGTTTCACTCACCGCACTGACCATTAAGGGTTGGTGAATGGGATACCAAGACCCAGTTAAGCTATCACTCGCCACTGATGTTAGCTGTGGTCAGGAATCAAACTTAGGTCGCCGGAATCATAGTGCAGTGTGCTACCCATTGCACCACCGCTCTACCCCATGCATAACTAACCATGAATACACCACATGAAAACGTATATACTATATGATTGTCTGAAATAAAATACTGATAGTGTGTGATGTGCTAGCTCTAGGCTGACACAATACCTATGGAATAAATAAAACCCCGCTACTGCTGACTTTTGGAGCGCTCCGCCAACAGAAGGCTTCTAGTTTCAGGTTGTACCACGTGCCGTTGGCACGATTCCTGTCGTTTCGCTCAAGGTGCTGGGAGCTTCTCAGAAAATGCTGGGAGCTGCATGAAGAGGCTATCAAATACCTTAGAGAACCATGCAGTATGAATTAGTAAAACAATCATTTTAATTTACGTTGAGAATGAGTGCCACTTAAAATTCTGTTTACACATGCACGTCCTGAGGACAATAAATGAAGTATAAATTGGAAAGATTAATACATTATTGAAGTATGTATTACGTACCATTCTGACCTCTCTGCACAATGAAGTATAATTTCACGGACAAAGAGCCACACAGACGTATTTCTCTCCATGATTTATATCACACACTATATGCAATTACTTCTTTTGTTATCAACAGATGCACAAGGTAATTCTAATTTCCGAAGAGCTCATCAGTTGGAAACAAGTTTTCTAAAGCAATTTTACACCGCAATTAACAGTTCGTGCAAGGCCTGAGTAAATCATCAAATCAGGAATCAAAACATTTCATGTGCATGCTGGCAACTACTTGCAAAGGAAGGCTGTCATTTTTATATGTAGTAATTATGGGCTTTTTTGATCTGCATGGCTCATTCTCAACCTTTGGTCATGATCTAATCAAATGCTCATTTGTCCAATAATGCTTAATATTCATGACCTGGAGGCTCAGCCATATTAGCAGCATGTTGTAAAAAATATTGCGATCCAGAAAAAAATAATATGATTACAATCATTTTCCAAGCATGGTTGCACACAAGAGCCCCTTTTCATAAAGTCTCGGTAGGTACTTGCGAATTGAAATTGCATCTCTGCTAGCAACACTTGTCAAAACACTGACAAGTCATGCCGTCTCATGCTGTGTTACTCCAGAACCGCTTTTTTGTTTACTGTCACCAGATGAGTATCAAAAAAGACTTACAGCGATGTGCCAGTTAAACATACCCTCGTGAACACACTTTAAATTTAGACTCGTACGAGCACATGAGAGAGCTGTAAATCAACATGGAGGGGGAGGGGGGAGGAGGACGGTGGTGTAGTAGTTAGCGCACTGCACCATGCATCCTGAAACTTGAATGCACAGCTAACATCAGCGGCGAGTGATATCTGAACTGGTCCTGGGCCCCCTACCCTATCACTAACCTATATTGACCAGTGTGGTGGAGCACGGTCAAACAATCCCCATGACCAACATGGGGAGGCCTTCATCCAGCGTTGGACTGACCCATGGCCGATGAGATTGTTGATAATGATTACAATGAAACCAACATCGAATGCTTGTGAGATAAACAGGAGTCGTGAAGATAAAGCGTTTCTGTGGGCGTCTGGAATGCTCTTCCTTCCGACATTAGGAAGCTACTGGAGCTATGCACTTTTAAATCTAGATTGAAAACTCATTTCTTTAGAACAACTATTTGTGTTTAGTTTGTTGTCATTCCCCCGCAACGCCAATTAGCACGGTTGGCTACGTACTATTCACATGCCAATTTCAAAACCGGTCATCAGAAAAGTGTGTTCTTTATTTAATTCACATCAGGCCCCATGGTTTTAAGTGCAGTCTCAAACCCTTATTACCTGTCTCTCTGGCTTCTCTGTTTATGTACTGTGAATAAGGATCGGTGTTGTTGATGAGTGTGTTGAGTTTTCTGTTCGTTAATTGTGCTTGTGCGCGACTGCCAAATGCAGCAGCAGCATCATCAAATAATTTGTTCGCTGTGAAATTTGTATCAGAAACATCGATGATGACAAAGAATTTGGCATAACTGAACAGTACACAACAAATAATGGAGAGATGCGTGGTGGGAATTACACTCAAAGCTAGAAAGAGGAACACGTGGATCACAGAACAAATGCAAAGTTAAAGACATTATGTTGACGGTTAAGAAAAGTACGTAGGCTTGGGCAGAACCACATTGCTGGAGGACGATGGCCGATGGACGTCTCTGGTGGTGGTGTCCACGCCAAAGGAACGCACATAACCGAAAGGATGCCCAAAGGGGAGATGGAGCGATTAAGTCAGCTCATTTGTGGAAGTGGGTTGTGTTGTGGCCATTGTGCAACTGTCAGATGGCAATGGCGCGGTGGAGAGGCGTTTTTGTCCAACAGTGGATTGACAATGGCTGACAGTGATGACTTGCTTTGAATGAAAACAGGAATTATTTTGCAATACTGTCGTATGAGTTCCATATGCAGTCATACAGTAAGTTTGACAACTGACGTTTTGATTAAGTTATTAAGTAAGCGTTTTGATTGAGTAGGCGGTCATGCCCTTTGTATATGCACGGTTTGAATGAACAGATTTAGCAGCATGAATGATTATCGATACGTGTTGTACGATAACACGAGAATATTCCAGCATTTAAGTTGATTGAACCAATTTCCATTTACACTCATCAACGACTGACGAAAGTTACTGTGTGGAGAGAAAAAAAACATTTAAAACTCTTACAATTTGAAAACTGAAGACGGCTATATTTTAAGTCGTGCTTCGTGTAAGTTCCTGTTGGGTATAACGCGTCACAGTCGCAAAAGTTTATAATTGCTACAAATGGCTACGTTGTACACTTCACACTCAAAGACAGTGATAATGTGTTTGTCAGGATGAGATGTACCTCGTTATAAAAAGCTTATTTTTGGATTATGTTGTGCTGAACACTTTTGTTATATTCACAGAGATGATATAATGAGCTCTGGGAATGAAGTGTGCACTCAGTAAAAAACACGTTGAATAGAACTTTCTTGAACATTTAAAATATATGTAACTAGCATAACTACCCGGCTTCGCCCGGGACTTGGATTCACCACGCCCGGCCGCCTTTGTCTCCCCAGTGGCGATGTTCACACACCACACCAGTTACTCGTTTGAGGTTGAGTCGACCTAGGGGATGCCCAGGACCGGTTAAAATAATCGTCACCGGTGGT